TATGAAGTTTGATTCGTAATTTATGATTTATAAGTTTCATCAGAAAAGGAAAAAGAGAAAAAGTTATTGAGCTTTGTTTATCAAGTTGTTCCAATGAAGCAAGAAAGACTAATTTCTATTACAATAATAAAAGTATAAAACTCTTTTTTATATACTTAAGATTGATATCAATAGAAATCATTGCATAAAAATATTATCGTCATAGAATACAAATTTAATAATCAAATTATAATTGTAAAAAATTATAATATAATCTAATAACTTTTCATAAACATGAATGAAAAAACCAAACTACCAATCAACAAACCATCAAACCAATAAATAATTGGATGGAATACACATCTAAGGAAACTTTCTCCTTGCAATTGAAACAAGACCTTATTCGATTATTATTATTATTATTAGTTCTTTTTTTTTTGACAAAAATTTTTTGTAGCCATAAAAAGACTTTCATTAATGCAAAGAAACTGTTACAACAGTCTATAAAACAGGGATATAGATTTCGAGTATAAATAGGGGAAACTTCTTATAGAACCACAGTATCTTAAAGATCTAACAACCTACCACCAAGCAAAGAAACATCCATACCTGTCCACACCCAGTTTTGACAAAGAATTCAACATGTTCCAAGAACCTTTCTGAATCTATCAATTTCATCAAAAATCTGACAGATCTTCCATGAGCTATTATTGCAATTGCACACCCATGAAATAGCAATTTTTTAATATGATTAAAAAAGAGTCCTTAAAGAAATTATCAACTTATTTTCCCAATAAAATTATGTACAGCACATACTCTCTTCACAGTGGCAGGAATCTAGGCACAGAACTGTTTATTCAAATTATTGGTATTTTTTATGAATGGAACTTGTTAATTAACTATTTAACATCATGTATTTGAGTAACAACTTAAATGTTGGAGAAGCAGACTCCTCAAAGTCACATAGCAAAAGTAATTATACTATCAAAATAGATATTTAAACCAAGCATCCATAGCAGACATCATATGTTATGCTACACATGGAAAAAATAATCATAATGCAAAACATTATTTAGCATAAAGAAACTGTCCATTAAACATTAACCTCATGAAAATATTTAACTAAGGTGCAAGTATTAGAACATACAGAATTACGTACATGCACAAAAGTTGTAATCCAAGTTAATTTAATAAAAGTCCAGAAGCGTAAATCAAAATAGACCAAACAACTTTAGTCTAATAGCTGACCTTAACACCACTTCACAAAAATAAAATATAACATAGAAGGGTACATGACCCAGCTATGTTCACTGCAGAAATGTCTGGCATTTCATATGGCCAGTAAATTTGTAACTACCATGAAATAAATTTATTAAGCCCGGATGCATGTTTTACACACAAAATAAAAACGATATTCCCATGAAAAGGTTAACTATGGCAACAACATTAGAGTAAAAAACAAATACTTATTTTCTATAGACTTAAAATTAGGAAAATGTGAGCACATTAATAGTGTTAAAGGTCATTTGTTCTTCAAAGAAACCTTCTCTTTACACTGAATTTGTTGTAATAGCATTAAACTTTCAATAAGTTGAGCTTTGTGATTCTAAAGAATCTAATCTTAGAAATTACTATATTGTTTTCTTCCAGATTTCTTTAGCTAAAAGGTTTTGCTCAAAACACGATATACATAATTTCCATTAGTGCAGCACAAGCCAAATGCTTTTCTCACAACTCAGACACAATAACCAAATAACTCAATCAACATATATACAAAAAAATATTGTTAACCATTTCGTTCATTACAAAATCATAACCAAAAATGAGGAGAGAGAGGAAGCACCTGTTTCGAAATGGCATTGACGAACTTTAGCACAATGATTGAGTTGAAACTAGAGAAGAAAAAATTAGGGATTTTAAAAAATTAAGGAAAGATTCGTTAGATTTGAAAAACAATAGATGAAAAAAGTGATTTGCAGAGAGTGATTAACTAGAAATCGAAGAAATGCAGAGAAAATCATGTATACATAGCTACAAGTAGAAGAAATCAAAGTTTCAGCATAGAGGAAATCGAAGTTTGTAGCAGAGATGGTAGTCTGTATTCACCGAAGAGAGCGGTGAGAGTGAGAGTGAGAGTGAGACAGATTAAAAAAAAAAAGTCTCTGTAAGTCACGTGAGAGAGATTTTAGTTTTGTTAAGTGAGACAGATAAGAGTATCATGTGAGGGTTAAAAGTGCTCTTAAAAATTAAGTTATTATAGGCAATTTTATTAAACCAATAAAATAAAAAAAATTATTGATACTTTTATGAACCTTAAAAATTTTAATACCACTAAAATTAATAATTTTTTAGTGTCTCAAGGAATTGATCTAATAATGCAACTCAAATTAATTAATCCAAATTATTTTAATACCCCACACAAAATAAAGCATTTACAAGTACTTGGAACACAAAGAACCCATGCTTTATTATCAAATACTTGGAATAGTATAATTCTTTATTCGCCACGCTTGTCAAGCTAGAGATCTTTGTTAATAAAGAGTGGCAACTAGGAACGGATCTGCATGTGATGTTGAGGGGGCAGATGCCCCCATTAAGATTTAAAAATTTTTAAGTTAATTATAAAAAAATTTTATAAATTTTAGAAAACTTAAGCTTTGCTCCCACTAATTTTTTTTTATCATATTTGCTCCGTTAAATTGAGACTCATAAAAGAAACTTTTTTATTATTTATCTAATAATTGAACATTTTATTTTTAAAAAAAAAGTAATTGAACATTTATATTTTTAGGCAAAAAGCATTTTCATTACAATATATAGTAATTTTTTAGGAAAATAAATAAAAAAAACTTATAGAGTTCATATAAATAATATATAAAGTGTAAATTAAAGACTTTCTCCTCTTAACTTAATAGTTAAAAAATGATTAAAAGTCATATAAGCGTGAGTTCGATCCCATCATCCCCTTTCCCTTTAAGGGCACTAACCCTCCTTTGCAACAAAAAAAAAAGTAAATTAATAAGAAAAAAAATAAAAAAAAATCTTGAACTAACATGCCTTCTTTGTTTTCATTGAATATTAAGAAAATATTATTTTCATTATGTATAAGGATATAGGTATTTTTTATTCTCCACATAATTAAGAAATGAAAACAAATGATAAAACTGAATATAATAATTTTTATTTTTTACATATTACATCTATTTTTAAGAATTTTATAAGTACATAAAATTTTATTAATTAATATATATATATATATAGTGTTTGTATGAGTTTGCAATGTTTAAGCTACATTCACCAATAATCAAATAATTAATTTTAGTTATGCAAATATTATATTTATATATGACATAAAAAATTTTTATACATGATAATTTTGTTTGGAAATTTTTATATTAATTTGTATTTCAATAAAAAATTTAATAAATTAAATTAAAATATTTACTCCCATTGATGAGGAATTTTAGACCCGTCCCTGGTAACCATTGCTGCCTTTGCACAGAAAGTAAGAATGATGCTTGATCACATTCCTAGTTGGACCCACAGATCAGCTTGACCCAATGCATTTTTGCTTGCTTTGCCATATGTTAAAGCCATGCGCATGGCAGCGTGCATCCAAAGCATGTGCGTGCCTAGTTTACACATGCAACCATCAGAAACATCGTAACAAACCACATAAAAGTGCCACAGTTTTTGACCACTTCCTCATGCAAAAAAAAATTTCAATTGACATCAATCTAACCAGTAACCTTGTCAACAAATCAGTGGGGGCTGATTCCAATGTGGACTTCTTATTACATATATCCTTTTTTTCTTTTTGGTGCCCGAGAAAAAGCAATATTATAAAAATGATGTCAGTATCAAGGAGTCAGCTTTGGGCCTTGGAGTCACCATCATTAGCCTCTAATCTTTCCTCCGTGCTTAAGCAATGACCCCACCTCCCTTCTGCAGAACAGTTGAATGCTTTGCCAGTACCAGTTGGTCACCAGCGCAAATATAGCTTATCGTATACTAGTTATGGTGGGTTCGATTACCTATTTCTTTGACTGCAGCGCCATGTGCTAACAACCACAACCACGCACGGTCCTTTGGTTTCCCGAATCACTTTGCTGTTTTGTTCTTTTTTGTACTTTCAGCTTTGTCCCACAAGAATGAGAATTGGTTAAGGGGGGGCGAATTGGGTTGGAGCGTGTGGATTGAGGTTTCAGTTTATCTAGGACCAAATTTGTTTACCCATGCAAGTTTTTTTGTTTTTTTTTAGTGTTCTTGTTATCTTGACTTCTCCTTGTTTGGACCAATCAGATTAGAGCATTGAGGATCAGGACTCATCAGGCTGAGTCTTTCCTCAAATTGGTTTACTAATTCTAACTACTTTTTTTTTAATCATAATTCTAGCCACTTACTTATAGGCCACCATAAAAAATTGTCAGTGGCCGATATATTATTTGAAGTAAATAAATCCAAGTTCATCTATATTTACTTTATTCCAAGGCACTTTATCAGATGCAGTTCCAATATTTTATTATTTTTTGGTTAATTTCAATTTAGTACATATATTAAAATTAATATAAAATTCGTATTAAAAAGAAAAAGAAAACTAATGAACAACTTTTCTTTTTCATGAGTTTATATACGATTCGTCATTTTCCATATCCCATGGTTTACCGAAACAATAGAAGGCAAGGTGCCTCAACTAAAGTTATTTTGAAAGGTGAATTTTAAGTATAAATTTAATGATCAAATTGGGAATAAATTTTCATGAAAATTGACTCAATGATAGAACCAACTTGTCTCCATTAGATCTTAGATGAAAGGACAAGATTATTTGAGTGTTCTTTTGAAATAACACGGCCTGACGAGTACTCTTCAAAGCACTATCATAAGAATCTCTTTTAATTGGAGGAAAACGTTCTGGATGTCAATGTCATTGATGGCTACACCCAAATGCTCAGTTTCCACTTTGCCATTTTCCAACATAAACCAGAGGATGATTGAATTCAGCATCAATGAAACAGCGGTAATGTAAATGATCAGTGTCCAAATAACTGAATAATAATGGCAGTAAGTAAAATTCCTTCCCTTTTCTTCGCCTATATATGAGGCTTGATACTGTCTTGCCAAGTGTTGTGATTAAGGGAGTGGTGGGGGCAGTTTTTCCAAGAGACTAGAACTGTCTGGTGCCACTTCCTTCGTTTTTCAAACCCACTCGTAAATATAACACCAATCAAAAGGAAGCCCGACTATCAAGCCCTCTTCGTTCAGTTGCTCTCAGCTTTCGTTCCCCACTTTTCTCCTCCCAATTCCCATGGCTAGAACACAAAGGATGACACCGTTTTCAAGTTCTATCTAATCCTGTTGAATCATGAAGCTGAAACTCAAGCTTTAGTTTAGAGGTTGCACTGTCACTGCTGAAGCTAGAAGAACACGATATACTTTGAAGCATGTTTGATATCTTTTTCGGGTGGAGAAAAGCTTCAAAATGGTACTGTGTCTAGTGCCTTGAGGGAAGCTTATTGGATGTGCTGTTTATGTTATGTTCTGTTTTGGTTTATGTGTGTTGTTATGTTGCAGTAAAAAGCTGATCAAGCGTGTTCAGTGCCGTCTGAAGCTGCTAAAGAACAAAAGGCATACAATAGCGAAACAGCTGCGGGAGGATGTGGCAGAGCTCATCAAACTTGGATATGAAGAAACTGCCTTTAACCGGGTTGGAATGAAATTAAAAATCCTCTCATTAAATTCTAGACTCTTTTATTAACTCAAAGTCTCCTCTGCTGTTTCCCCTACTTTCTGTGAATCTTCTAGTTGTCATACAAAGCAAGTAGAGATTTGAGTAATTAATTGATGCTGTTGATTGTTTTCTTCGCGCTGTTTGCATAATCTTTTGATATTAAATATGGCATTGGGATTGGCTTTAAAATAAAATAAAATAAAAGCGCTTGTAGGACATTTAGACATTGAATTCAATGAGATGCTATTTTCTTTGTACAGTTTTTCCTTATAGTTTTTATACCAGCTGAAGATTTCTGATTTCAGCTTCAGGTACATAAAGAATTGGAGTAACATTTTCAGCTATCCATTAAACACTGAAGAATAAAATATTACAGTTCGTATCAGATTTCACGTGGAGAACTTTCTGATTATAAAAATTACTTTCAAGTAGCCTAGTGTGACCTGTATGTATTTAAGCTTAGTAGGAAGGCAACACTGTGGCCTTTAGCCTCAGGACTCAGGAGTATTGCAATTTAGAATCATAAATCTCCCTGTTCCCGTTCTACTAACCAAGGCCATCACACAGAAAAGGCCCGGCAACCTCTCTATCTGAATCTTTAGAAGCATACTTCTGAAACAGGTGGTGAGATTTAAATATACTAAACAACAATCATTATCAATTGGGGATATCTTCTTCTTGATTTTATCCTTCTGGTTAATGTTTCATGTTATTAATAGGTTTCCTCATTTGATTAAATTTTGTAACTATCCGTGCCACAGTTCTGGTAGGTGATTAGAATCCGTTTTGCATATTTCAAGCGTTATCAAACTTTGGATAAGCATTTTTTGGCTCTCATTTAGCTCTGGCCTTTAACTCTCAATTTTCAGGCTGAACAGCTGCTTAAAGATGAAAGCATGATCGCAGTCTATGACATGCTGGATCATTTCTGTGAATTTGTCAACATTCAACTATCATATATCCGCAGACACAAGTATTTTCCCTCTTAACAACACTTTTCTTCTTTTCTTCACATTAAGTTTCTGACTATGAACTGAAATAGCTGTCCTGTAATTATGCTATTTTAGGGACTGCCCTAACGATATCAACGAAGCAGTTTCAAGCCTGATATTCGCCTCTGCAAGATGTGCAGATCTTCCTGAGCTTTCTGCAATTCGGAAGCTCTTTGGGGAGCGTTATGGTCAGAGGTTTGCAACAGCTGCTGTTGAATTACTTCCTGGGAATCTGGTGAACCGTGAGGTTGGTTGTCCATTGTAGTGCTAACTGTTGATTTTTTTCCTTTGTGATAAGGTTTTTATCATCAATTAACACAAAGCATTTTGATAAAATTTCTATTACAGATAAAAGAAAAGCTGTCCATAAAATCTGTTTCAGATGATGTGAAGTATAGATTGATTGATGAAATAGCTCGAGATTACCGCCTACAACCTGAAATTTTGGCACTTGAATACATTCCGGAAATGCAACGACAGGTAACTAGATATATTCGTTTAATTACTGTCTTGTAATCAGATTTTGATGTTTTATTGCCAACTAAGTGAAGTCCTATATGCTAATGTAACCATAGGTAAAGGAAACTAGTGGAGATAAAGAAATGGACAGAAATAAAAGAAAAACTGAAGGACCCCCCCAAATGCGGAATTCAGATTCTAGTGAAATCGAAGGAAAATCTGTGCAAGTTGATCCATTGGCAATGAGTGCGAGTCTTTTGATCAGCCAATGTCAGTCTTACTCCTATCCTAATTCTGATGCAATTTGTACTTCCCTTAGTTCTTCTCAACGACCTTCACCAGATAAGATGGAGATAGAGTCGCCAGATCAGATAAAAGCACGCCAAATGGATTCTCCATTTCAATTGACAGCAGATTCTCCGGGTGGTGGAGAAAGCCAGAGCATCAGCTGGATTTGTACGACAACTTTCAAACAAACGGATGAAAGAATAAAAGCACCATCTTCCTCAGAAAGTTTGCCTCAGTTTTCTGAGGAAGTAGTTGTCTATCTTGATGACATAGAGGAGTTACAATCTTCCCAGAGAAAAGGAGACTGCCAGGATCAGAGACTATTCAAGTTCAAGTCACCCATCATGCCTGAGAGAGGAGCAGTTGTCTATGGCACTGACGGTTATGATGAAAATTTTATGGATCATGAAGTACAGGATGAGAAGTCAAGCTCAAAGACCTTTAGTAAGAGTAGCAATTCAAATGGAAAAAAATCAAGGCGGAGGTCATTCTCTCTTGAAACTTCAAGCATGAAGGATACCGCCCACGAAATTTATTATGAGAAGCCGTGCAAGAGTTCTTCAAATCACTATAGAAAGCTCCAGAAGAAGACAACAGTAGCAGAAAGTAAAGTATCAACTTGTGAGCTGAAGAGACCGAAGCAACCTTGCTGCATTGGATTGGGGGCCGACATTCAGGCTAATAATTTCAAATATAATACTACGAGATCATCCTGCGACTGCAGCTTCAACAGTGAAGTAAACACCTCCAGCTTGGAAAATCAAGGTTATATTTGTACTTTTGATGACAGGGAAGAAAAGTTTCCTCCAAGAAATGGAAAGAGAGGGCTCAGAAACTCAGGGCAGTTTCCAATTTGTGATGTAGAAGAAAATTTGGATGACAAGTTTTGCCATAGCCAATGTTCTTCAAATGGAGCATCTAATGACGAAACTGGGCGTATTACAATGAAAGAGAGTACTCTTACGCAGAATCTGAGGATAAGAAGCTACGACAATGGTGCAAATGTGTATGAACTTTTCACCTTGCCTAAAATACAAAAGGAGAAAACCACAGGGAAAGTGAAGGAATCTGACGCTGGTAGTCATGTTTCTTGTAACAGTTCCTTCCCTAGTGTGGTTAGTTCCCAGACAAGAAATGAAATAGCTCCTTATTCGAGGGCCATGACAATGCCCCAAGAAAGGCCTAGAGAGATTCACAGGTACAGCAATCTGCGATCGAATTCATTGTCTTTTCACAACCCTAATCACGTCCATCCTAAGCTGCCAGAGTATGATGACATAGCAGCTAAATTTATAGCTCTCAAGAAGGAGCATCTGCTGCATAAGCAGTGATGAAGAAACCAACAATAACATTGGCATGCACAGCGCACAAGACTAGTTATTTTTTTGTTCTCCTTTGAAGGTTCTCTTGTATTCTTCTATCCTCCAGTTATATTATACGATCATATGGAGAATTATCTGTTTCGATTACAAGTTTTCAACCTGGAAACAGTCATTTGTTCTTAGAGTAGGGTGCAAGTACTGAGAATGAAGCTAATAATTTGTCAAATTTAGTCGATTTATCAGGCATTGCATTCAATATTACGCTATACACAGCAGTCGTCGCTTGTCAACTGGCTGGCACTATATTTGGGCTTTCCTGGATTGAGTCCAACTTGCCCATAACTCAAGTTGATAGAATCCAATCCAATAAAAATAAAGGGTAGTGCAATATGTTTGGGAAAGATATTTAACATTACTGAATCGGCGGCTACGATCCCATCCTGTTTTCGAGTCCAAGGATAATTGCACCCCACCACACCAATGAAGAGAGAATTACATTTGTTTTTTTGTTAAAAAGGCCTTGGACAATTCAGTGGTCACATTTGTCACATTTGTCACATCAAAACAAAACCCTAAAACTTGAAGTTATGCATTGCTCCAATCAACAAAATACAAGTAATTGCTCCAAGTCAGGTACGAAATCACTAAGATTCCATTACTCCTCTTTCTTTAAGGACAGCTTTCTACATATTTCTATCCTTTTGACTCAGTCATATAGTGCGAGACTTTACTAACTTTTTAATATTTGAGAATAAGAAAAGGATTCATTAATCAAACAAAAAAATGTTTCATAAGATGGGTCAACTTCACCCACTTAGTGCAGATCTTTTATTGGAAAATGCATACATGATCTCTTATTTATATCTAGCTGGGCATACCAAACAGTTCTATCATGTAGACTTGCCACCTCTTTGTTTTAAGCTCATGGAGCACACTCAAGTATGAAAATGCAGACATCCTATTTTAAAAAAAAGTACAAAAAATGCTGACAAAGGTGGAAAGGACTATGTCTGCAATAGCACTGAGAAAATTCAATTAAAATGTATAATGCACTGATCTTTCATACTTATACAATGAAGAAGCGTGTGGACCATCTCCATAGCCTGCTCAATGCTTAATATATATGCTGAGAGTGGAATGCAATTTTATTTGAATCGAAGGCATTACACATAAATGGACCAATAGGAAGTTTATGATAACGTTGCCATCTAAGACAAACACATTCTCACCCCATTTGGGGGTTGACTTTCATTTTTAAAAAATCCAAAACCTACCAACATTTTAACATAAACACTTCCAACTTCCATATTTTTATCAATTTCTAATTCCAATATTGGTAAAGTTTGAATTGATTAGCCTATCATATTGATTGATTTCGAGAAAACCTATGTTTCGGCTACCAATAATAGCATGCCACCACTTTGTTTTCGGGCAAATTTCTTTGCATAAGCATTTTGATTACCTAAATTGGGTGCTGTTGGTGCATATGATTAATGAGGTAAGCGGTATCAAGGTGATACATAGTTGTTGAAGATTCATTGGAGGATATCCATCGCTTGAGACCAAGATTAATTAATAAGATAATCAAACTATAAGGGGGTCTTAGTTGTAGGTTTCTGGAAAATGGTATATAATTCACCTTATCTCAATGAGTTCAACACTCTACCTATTGAAAATTGAAAATTAATTAATTCAAAATGAAAATTCATCTAATCTGAATGTTTGCATGTTAGGTCCATCAAGTTGACCAATTCAAAATATCGTCCTGCCTGTCATTAGCTCAGGCTCTCTTACTAAAGTGGTGCAATCTAATTCTTCCATGACAGTGATACAATATTATTTTTTCAACTTCAGTGGCGGATCAAGAATATTTTTTGGAATGTCTACTAATATAAAAAATTGTAAACAAAAAATTAAAATGATATATCCCTATATTATTACAATTGCCCACAACGAATCTCATATATTGAAAAAAAATTCATTGCATCATTATTAATAATATCAAATTTATTCTTCTCAATATATGTAATAAATAAACAATCATTCAATAAAAAATTAAAAATTTTAAAAATGTCCAAAAATATTTTTGTGGTGTCCAAATAAATGAGCCTTATAACTTGCATTCACCCGGTTCAACCTACAATCTTTTCCCTATTTTTTTCTGGTTTAATCAATAACTAAGTCCTATAATAAATATTATTTTTTAAAAAAAGTCTTATAATAAATATATATACATAATGGAATAACCTTTCATTTCCTCAACCCATCCAAATCCAAGATCTTGTGTACTCGTTTTTCCAACAGTCTGATACGTGTGTGTCCCATATTTCCTTAACGACCCCTACCTATAAAATCTTATATTTGATAAAGAAACTGAAGATTTCAAGGAAAAGGATTCCTTTCATTTGATTCCACTATACATGTACCTACAAATTACAAATTACAAGGATTACCGGACATTCATAATTTGGTACAGTGCTCCAAATTGGTGGACATGCTGAAAATCCCTTAAACCATTTTCCAATGTCTCAAAAACAAGATGGAAAATCAATCAAACGAGACATAGCTGTTCCCTTGTCAAAGCAAGCATGATCACTATGCTGAATCAAAAGATGTGAAAACAGCCCTATAATTTGGGGACACACTTATGCATGTTTCAATTTGCTAGCAACTGTTGATGTCCGAAGAGTCTTGTAATTGTACGACACACTCATGCATGTTGCCCCCCAAAACTGTGTCGGAGGAAGTAATTAAGAGATGTTGATGGCTGATTTGCATGTTTGGGGTCAAAGGGAAAAAGGATGTCCGCATTGTGTGTAGTTGAATACCTCAAAGAAGAGACATGTTTTTCCGAGATAGATATATAAATTCAGGATTGGATAACACGTGTTAATCTCATCGGATCATCACGTTTAAAGGAAACTTCTTTGGCTTCTTATGATCTCACCATTCGGGTTGTTGATATTTCTCCTTCTAAAGGTATGCAGTTGCACCAACTATTGTGGAAAGGGAAAAGTGTAAATAAATCAATAATGGTAATATAAGGCAATAATTGCATGGGTTATAGATAATGTATTGAATTTTTAATTTTAATGATCAATATTTAATTTATAATAATTTTAAGTATTAAAAAAATTGATAATATATTATATTAATCAATTATTAGTTTAAGCATGCTATTTGTATATGTTAAATAATATCATAGAGGAAAATTTTTTGTTTAAAGTTTTATCCTATTTTTTATTAAAACTTTATTTTAATTTTCAAAGTATTAAAATTTAAAATTTTTTAATCATCTTTCACTTTATAATGATGCTTGATATGAGACGATCATCATATAATGAATCTATTATAATATGCATTTTGTAATTAAATCATTGTATTTTATAGAAACTTAAGGATTTTACATGATAATAATTAAATCGTTGTATTTTATAGAAACTTAATGATCCTACCATGTTGGACTGTCAATCAAACCAATTGGACAAGTTGAGCCGAGAACCAAATACAAAATCAATTTGTTCTCCGATTCGGTTATTAAAATATTGGAGTTCATAAGCCGGATTGGACTCAATTGATACCTCTAAAAGCTTGCTCAAGATTCAATTAGACCATCTCATTAGAGCCTATTTAATCGAGATTTATAATTAAAATATTAAAAAATAATTTTAATACTTACTAATATTATTAGGAACTATTTAGACTGTTGCTAGTTGTTTCTTTTACTCTTTTTTTTTTTCTATTTTTTGGTGTTTGCAAGTGTATACTAGTTGGATGCTGCTTTTGGGCGTAGCTAGCTATTGTTTATTCCATTTGATTTTAGTGTATTGCTTGTCCAATTGCACACCAAGTGTTTGTGCTTTTTATTATACGAGTTTGTTATAGAATTCTTTGTTATATTCGGAATGATCTTGAAATATGAAAATAATTTTCAATGTTTTAATTTTCGTAAATATCCATTTGCTAATAAAATTTTGAATTTTTTTTGGGTATATAAGAGCATATCAAAGCCTGTTAATTCACACTATATCTCATTCTTGTAATACCAAAACAATCTTTTTACATTCATCTCACCAATTGTACAAGGGATTGTTCCACCAATGAGAGTCCCCAACTACCCAGTCTGGCCAAATTCGCAAGCATATCAGAACATCTATTAGCTTCCTACAGATGTGGCAGATGTGTGTGATAGTGCATTGCCAATCCATTGATACTGTGATAATGTTTAAATCCAAGAACTTACTCATTAAATGCAAAAATATAAAGTCGTCATTAAATTTTTTTTATTTACGCGTAATTGATCATTTATGTGAATATATCTTTTTTAATGTTATTTTAAACTTGATTAAGGCTCTTCAAAATAGAATAGGTTTTTGTTTGTATCAATAGAACTAAGTTCAAAAGTCAATTATGTATGAAGAAGGTTTTAGCACCCCATAATGCCTAAAATTGTTTTCAGGTTAATTATATAGTATTTTCTTTAAGTTTTAATCAAAGATGATTTTTTATTAATTTCAATATTTAAATATGAAAAAAAATCTTTAGGCTTTCACCAAAGAAAAAATTTTTCTTACCTTAAGAGTATTTAAGATAAATTTGTTGTTCACTTAAAAAAGCTCCATAGTTGGATTCATTAAACAACTTATGAAAAATCAAATTCCAATTTTTTTATTTATTTACAAAATAATGTCAAACAAAAATACTATATAAAATATTAAAAATATATCATGCAATAATATCATAATTAAAATAGACAAAAATAAGAACACATGCACAAACATCATGCAAATAAATGAAATCCATGCAAACATATCATAATAAAATCATGCCAAAAATTATGCTAAGATATCATGCGAAAATATCATAATTATGCAAAAAATAAAGTCCATGCAAATATATCAAATCATGCAATAAATATAAAAATAATGAAATAAATATCATAATAAAGATCATACAAAAAATATCATAATAAAAATCATACAAAAGTTTTTTTCTTTTTCTTTTCCTCATCACTTTTAATTTAGTCACAATTAACAATAAATAAAGAAAATAATTAAAGAAAAATATATAAGACAAAAAACAAAAAAATCAAAAATAAAATCAAAATCATAAAAGAAAAAAAAATGTGATCAGGTTAAGTTGTGAAGCGGATTGACTCATGGGTTGTCGTATTTAGGTGTGGATCCAAGCCTTAAAAATGATGCCATCTAAGCTTAGGATAAAAGCAAACAATAAGTATTTTTCCTTAGATCTCCCTTTCCCTTTCTCTTTTTAGCCCAACCTCTCTCTAAAAACAACCATTGATAAATTCAACAATCCCATAAAATGGCCACCAATTCCAAAATCTGACACTGAAAAATTCAAATGATGCTAAAAAATTCAAATGAAACCCAAAAAATCCCTAGAAGAATTTGGCCACCATATTTTGCTCCAACCACCTTAAAACTTGCTAGAAAAATCAAACTTTCATTGAAAAATTCAAAGAAAACCCAAGATAACCTAGAAAAAACCCCAAATTCCCCAGAAAATCTCATAAATTTCCAAAGAACCTAGAAATTAAACCCAACTCCAAATATCCTAGAAAATTCAACTCAACTTCCAAAATTCCAAAAAAATAAAAACTAAAAAGCCTAAACGAATTCCTAACTCCTTCATTAAAATTCCCAAAGATCAATCATGGAAACACCAAAAGATTGAACCAAATTTTTAGAAAATAGAACCAAAACCCAAAAAATGTGTTCGCTTTAGCTGCTATGTATTGCATGCTAATTGATTGTTTACTTGTTGTTTGCTTATTGCTTAATGTCCTTCCTATTGTAGATTTAAGTTCTTTATATAGGGATTAAATCCCTTTCAATTTGGAAAACTTCAAATTCAATCAAATCTTGGCTAAAATCAATTTTTAATTCATTAAAGATTTGTCTTTTCTTTGTTTTTTTTTCAATGAATTGGAGTCCAAGCTTTCCAAAATTAACCTATGTTGAATATTTT